TGAGGGGCATTTGACCTCTTTTTCTTTCCTCCTGGGACAGAGAGGGACAGGGCCAAAGGCCTCCCTGGCTGTGTTTTCTTCTGAGTGAGCTCCCACCCAGATGGGCCACGGTGGCCCTAGGTCACATCTGCCTCCTGCCACACGGCGGCTCATCCGCTGTCTCATACCATTGTGAAAGTCACTGATGCCAAAGTGGAGTCACTTCGGTACACATCCAACAAGAGGCCTGAGAAGGAAGTCCCCAGACGTGTACTCCYATGACAGGACTTACCACAGGATTCCCATCGTCACCCAACTTCCCCAAGAGGCACTGTTCGGTCAGGCAGTGTGCACGCGAACACTCACCCGCAAGGGCTGCCGTCAGCCTCCCACCAACACCAAGTTCCCTGCAGCCCTCGGTCTTCCTAACTTTGGTTTTGAAATGACTTACGTGCACTTCTTCTCTGTCTTTAAAATATTCTCCATCTGCTGGGCCTGGTGGCACACGCCTGTCATCCCAGTGACTCAGGAGGCTGAGGCRGGAGGATTGTGAGTTCAAAGCCGGCCTCAGCAACTTAGCGAGGCCCTATGCAACTCAGTGAGACCCTGTCTCTCTCTAATAACACTAAAACAGGGCTGGGGCTGGGGCTCGGTGGGTAAGTGTCCCTGTTTAGTATCCCTGATACTAAAACAAAAGACAAACAAAAAATTCTCCTCTCCCCGGCTGCCTGGCTACACCTATGGGCAGCCAGAACGTGTGTGTCCTGAATTGCAGATCACTTACTCCCCAAGAACTCACTTATTCTGAGAACTTGTTTCTTTCTTTCTTTTTTTAATACCTGTGTTTATTGTCATGTGGTGCTGAGGATCCAACCCAGGGCCTCACATGTGCCAGGCCAGCGCTCTGCCCCTGAGCCCAGCCCCAGCCCCAGCCCCAGTACTTGTTTTCTTTAAGTTTCTTTCTAGGTTGGTGCACGGGTAACCTCCACTGGAGATGGGGTTGTGTCCCCTCTGTCTCTGTCCTTTCCCTGAACTAGTGTCATAGGCATATTTTAGCTGGTCAGGGTCATAAGACAAGGCAGAACCTGGAGGAGTCCACACTCAGATGCTTCCGACCTCTGTCTCCCAGGAAGGTCATGCAATGACACGTTTCGAGTGTGTGACAACCAAAGCCCKTCCTGGGGACTGGTCACAAAGGCCCCTCTCCTGAGCAGGGAAGAACAGTGGGAAACTTCCAAGTTCAATCTTCCAGATGCCAGCCTCAGGCCAACCCTGCCCGCAGGCCTCTCTAAGGATGGACCCTGGGACCTGCTCTGTGGATCCTTTTCTGAACAGGTGGTTAGTGAATTGATGTGAGGTTCCTGATTTTGATAGTTGTAATTCTGCAGGAGGACGCCTTTATTTGTAGAAAATACACAGTAGAGGGGCTGGGGTGGTGGCTCAGTGGCCGAGTGCTTACTTAGCACATCCTGAGGCACTGGGTTCCATCCTCAGCACCACATAAAAATAAATAAATAAAAATAAAGGTATTGTGTTCATCTACTACTAAAAAATATATAGAAAAAGGAAATACAGTGAAGAATTTTATAGAGAGATCGCTAAGGCATCAAGTGGGATATGCACTTCTAAACACTTGAGCATGCATGAGGCTCTGGGTTCCATGTCTAGGACTGAAGAAGAAAAGGAAAAAGCTCTTTGTGCCATTCACTTCTTTAATATATACCATATATCTAAAAAAATAATATAACAGGGGGGAATCCATAGGGGATGGGTGGAGAAAGAGAGGGATAGATTATAAATTGACAACTACTAGGGCTGGGCAAAAGACCCGTGGAGGTTATCATACTCTTCTACTTTGTTTTGTATTTGGAATTCTCCATAATCACAAAATACAATAACAGAAACCTCGGTCAGCAAAGATGTCTTCTAGATGGGGTTACTTCTGGAAGAGAAGGGAAATGGCACTGTGGGTGCTTTAGCTCTATCTGTAGCCTTGTATTTACACACACACACACACACACACACACACACACACACCCCACGCAGAACTTTAGAAACATAGATAAGCAAAATCAGTCAAAATACAAAAATGTCACCACCATATATATAACACGCATGTGTGTGCATACATTCCTGCTGTGGTCTAGATGTTTATGTACCCCCCAGATTTGCAGCCTGGAAGTTAATACCCATGTGATTGTATTCAGAGGTGGGACTTTGGGATTGTCGTGAGAGCGCCACCTTCAAGTATGGGATTAGTGCCTTTATAAAGGGGTCGAGCAAGCTCCAGGCTCCTTCCAACAAGTGAGGAGACGAGTCTCGCCCATGACCCGCACAGACGGAGATGATCTGGGTTTAAAAGGGCTGGCTGCAACTTTGAACTAAGAAAGCGGCTAAAAATCACCCAACGCAGACAGAAGTTTTTCAAATCAAGGGCAGGATGGCTCTGCGACATTAAGGGTCAGCTTCCATGCTGGAAAAAGAGCACTGCCCAAGGTTCCTTTATCTTATAGCAGGGGGCATCAGAGGCAGGGATAAAGTCTCAGGGGTGGAGTCTTGCTTCCTGATGTCTTGTGGTCAGCAGGTTGATTGACCTCTGGGCAGGTCACACCCGTCTCAGGTGGCGCGCGGGATCTTAGGCAGAGCTGGGGGGCAGGCGCACCTGCCTCATGTGATCAGACAGGGAGCCCGAGGTGCAGGCCTAGCCCCTCAAGAGGCCACGATGCACAATAGTTCACACACACAGCCCACGACAGCTCGTGACAAAGGACAGGCGCCATCTTGAAAGCTGTCAGCCCTCAGCAGACACAGACCCAGGGGCAGCTTGGTCTTGTGCTTCTCGTCTGCAGAACCTTGAGCATGTTTCCGTTGTCCATAAGTCACCCAGTCTCATGTCGTTGGTGACAGCAGCCCAAATGCGTGCAGACAATGCAAAATGAATGCATGTGACAGACACGTCTTCCAGGCAGTAGGTTCCCTCTTTCYGTTCCTGTAAAGGTTCACCTCATTCTTCATTTTCAAATTCCCCCGCTCACCCACAAATGTCCTCTAGAGCGGAACTGGGTACTCTGGGACCACCCCCCACATGTGGTTAGGACCTTTGGGTCTGCTGTAGACTGCCACAATCCCCTGTTCATGATCCTGGCGAGACTCCCCACATCTGGGTTGGCTCTTCAGTGGAGCAYGCCCTGCTCCTTCCCCCACTCTGGCCCCCGACTTGCAATGGATTGGCTTATTTTTATGTATTTATTATTTTTACTTTATAATGGCATAAGAGACTATGCATTAGAAGGCGCACTGTGAATTTGGAATTCTCTTTCCCCGGACTAGCCACGGGCGATCCAACACTCTCTCCTCATGCTTGGCATTGCTGGTGGACAGCAGCTCCCGGTCACAATCAGGAGAGAAAACAATGGAGAGCGCCTACATTGTGCTGTTGCTAAGCCATGATGCTCCATGGATTAGGTACAGTCAGTGCATATTTGACTGGTGGTGTCAATTTACAATGGGTAGCCCCATTGTGATTTTTTTTCTGTCCTGGGGATGAAACCCAGGACTCCCACCTGCTAGGCAAACACTCTTACCCCTGAGCCATCATATGTTTTAAAGAGCATCTGTATTGCAAGGCGAGACTGGACGTCTGAGCCATTCAAGAGCAGGTGGACGTTGTGCAATACATCAAAAGCCACCGCACTGTGCCTTTGCTCAGGTGACCAGGCCTCAAAYACCTCATTTATCCACCCAGCACCAAGTCAGCAGTGACCCGGGAATGGCCCAATCCTGCCATTGTGTGGTTCCGTGTCACCTTCATGACTAAGGCCATGAATACGGTGTCACTTTGACCCTACACCCATCTGGTTCCCACCCACCATCTGCCTAATGCAAGGGCACTGACTGGAAATTTTTGTCTGCATCAAACATTTTCTTGGTTCCTCTGAACCAAGTCATTAACTTAGGCAGTGACATGATATTTCTATTAAAAAGATCTGAGCCAGGTGCGGTGGCCCACGCCTGTAATCCCAGCGACTAGGGTGGCTGAGGCAGGAGGATCACAAGTTCAAAGCCAGCCTCAGCAGAAGCAAGGTGCTAAGCAACTCAGTGAGACCCTGTCTCTACAGAAAACACAAAATAGGGCTGGGGATGTGGCTCCGTGATCAAGTGCCTTTGAGTTCAATCCCTGGTACCAAAACCCCAAACCAAAAAAACAAAGATCTGAGGCACTTTTGGCAAAATAATAAATTTATTATATATGATCACCAGATGCATTCTAGATACATTATATATTATAGCTGACAGATTACTCTCTTGCTGTTCGGAAAACAAAATGTCAAAATGAAAAATAAAATCATTTTAAATATCACACAATTACAGAGGTCCTTGAGGATCAGGGCTGGACTTG